AGGAGTAAGCAAAACTAGCTAATATTTATAAAAATTTCATATTATTACCTATTTTATAATATATTAAAATAAAGAGCTAACAATCAAATAATTTTTAAACATGATTTTAAATGGGCGGGCGAGTGGCTGAATTTAAAAAAAACACGGATGGGCGAGATGGTTACAAATATTTAAATATTGTTAAAAACCCTTCCATTGCGCATCTCTGATATAGGCTTAAATCGGTCAGAAGGTCTTGGACAAAAGTACCCGAACAAAATGACATCGGGCAAAATAAACCCGGACAGAAATATCCAAATTTTAATATTTTTTTAAATTAGAAAAAGGGGAAAGTTTAAAAAAAATTTATTAATTTCTTCCACATATGTTTCATTCTTCTCTAAAATAATATTTAATCAATGATAATGCGTAGCCGTTGTAAACTGTTTTTCCATAAATTTTATATAAAAATTTTCACATTTTGGTATACTAGGGATATTGACAAATGTATTTCTACGCGGTTCATAGCAAGGCCTGATGTGGGCTAGGGTTAATCTTTGCATATGAGAAATACTTAATTTTCTTAGATACCATATTGACTAGATTCGGTAAAATCTAATAGACACTTAGGGCCAGGGTTTCGAACCGTTTAGTATAACGGTTCGGTTCGTTCCGATTTTTAGTTTAAAATTTTATAAAGGTTTTGTTCCATTTCGGTTTTTTAAAAAAAAATCATATCGGTTCGGTTCGGTTTATAATTTATAACGGTTCTTTTCGGTTTGTTCCGGTTTTTATAAATTTAATTTTAAAAAAAATTCATCATTAACCATGTATATATTAATTTTAGAGAAAAATCTTTTTTTCCAAATTGATAGTTAAATTTCCACCCAATCCTATAATTATTGGATCTATAATATTTCGAAATGCTTTGTCGTCAATTGATTTTATTGGCCTACCGTGAACTGTTATTAGCTCGGTGCAGGAGCGGATTAAAGTTTCTTTATTTATATTGATTTGTATTGTAGTAGTGTTGGACTTAAAAGCATCTTGGATTGTATTATACTGGTTTGCAGTTTTCGTTATTTGAATTTTTTTAATAGTCAAATTTTCTTTCTTTTTTCTTAATAACTTGAATTCCCTATTGTGGAATCTTTCTATATATCGTTCAAGATTTGCAGCATGGTCCCCAGTTAAGACCTTACCACAATCTTCTATTTTACAAATAGTTTGATTTTTTATGATATCTAATTTAAAATAGGAACACACAGGATTTGACTTTTCCCGAACCATTTATAACTAAAAAGCTATATGATGATAGATGAAAATCTTTTATTATATAAATAGAATAAATAAAAAAGCTTAATAGAAACAATTTTACCTTCAATTTTATTTTTTTAAATAACTTGGATTATAGAATTTAAATGACAATAAATAAAATGGTCAGCAATAAATATTTTAATGATATAATAATTTTTTATTTATAAAAATCATATTTTTTTTTAAATTCAGAATTCTAATATTTATTATTAAAATAATATGTTAGTTAGTATTTACCATTATCATATATGCAAAATAAAAAAAAATATGATTAAAGAATGGCATTTGTAATGAATATTTTTCTAAATCTGTATTTTTAAATAATAAAAATCTTACTATAAATCTTCAGTTTAAATAAGTTAACTAACATTGCATTAAATTGTTTTATACTTTTAATTATGTGTTTTATATTAAATAGACTTACATTTAAAAATAGGAATTACATTTTGATGTTAAACTAAATATAACTAGTATAGTTTAATTCAAATTACCCACTCTGATATATTCTATATAAACTAAGATAAACTTTTTTTGAATATATCAATTAATAAGAAATTATTGTAAAACAATATTATATAAAAATTGGTCAGTACTTTATTTCTGTTAGATGTTAATATAATATGACAGAATAGGTAATTTAAGTTAAGCTATAGTATTTATATTTAGTTTAACATCAAAATGTAATTCCTATTTTTAATTCACTGTAAGTTTATTTAAATATAAAACACATTAATAAATAAATAAAAGTATAAAAATAATTTAATGCAATGTTAATTAACTTATTTAAACGATTTATAGTAAGATTTTTATTATTTAAAAATACAGATTTAGAAAAATATTCATTACAAATGCCATTCTTTAATCATATTTTTTTATTTTGCATATATGATAATGGTAAATGCTAACTAACATATTATAATAATAAATAATTTATAATATTAAAATTCTGAATTTAAAAAAACAATGATTATAAATAAAAAATTATTATATCATTAAAATATTGCTGACTATTTTATTTATTGTCATTTAAATTCTATGATCCAAGTTTTTATAATGAGATAAAAAATTTAATTTAGCCAAGAATAATTATGTCTGATTTTAAGATATCTTATCTAATTAACAGATAATTGTCTAATCTCTTATAAATTAAGTATTTAAAGAAAAAATTTGATATATAATGTTGATAATATAAAAATATTTAATTTGATATATAATGTTGATAATATGGAAATATTTAATTTGAAAAGAATTCACCAATTTAAAAAATGCCCCCAAAGAAAACTAAAATTTTAAATTTAGGTTAATAATTTAAAATTAATTATTTTTAAAACCGTTTTGAACCAAAAATATTTATAACGGTTCGGTTCGCTCTTTTAATATTTTCTTCATAACAGTTCGGTTAAGGTTCAGAAAATCATAAAGGTTCGTTCAGGTTTTGCGGTTCGGTTCGAACCCCTGCTTAGGGCTGCTGAGCAGCGGTTAGCTTAGAGCTATGCAACAAATAAAAATTCCCTATGCTTGGTAAAATCTTAAAGATACTTATATATTCAGAGAAGCGCCCATAAGTATTTATTAGTTTTTATCCAAAACTAGTTCAGACTAAGGTCTGTTACCAAATTGCTTAACAGCGTTAGCTGTATATTAAAGCTAGGATAGAAAAGTAAATCTTATCTTGACAAGAAATTTGCATAGGCGAATGTCTTGTTTGTGTATGTGTTAAGCACGACATAATAGAAAAGTATATTTAGGACAAGAATAAAGTTAAGGTTAATAGGTCGCATATGGGGTAGGGCCATATGAAAAATTATTTAAATTTAGTTATGTGCTATATAGACCTGCCATATTCTAAAAGTGAGTTTGGGGGATTTTATGTGAATAAAAGGATAAAAAAAGCTGGATTAATCTAGACAAAATTGGTAAATTTTTGTCAATTGCGAATTTATATATCTTTATTTGATTATGCATGTTTATATAAAATAATATATACAAATCTCTACATATTTATCGCGAAAATCTATTTTAAGTTTCTTATGTCAAAATTCTGCCTTACCGTCAATTTGGTTCTAATAAGTCGAATGAGAGCAAAGAGGGATTTTTTACCCAAGACAAATATATATTTACTTTCTAGGTATATTGCTTGATTAAAGTTTTAAATTCATACTTTTTTTGATGAGAAAATAAATGGTCATGTTGGAGAATTTGAAGAGATAACAATTTCTGCAAGCACATCCTTGATATTTACATTTTAAGTTTAAAGTTATCTATCGAATCCCGGACAAAAGGGCATTGTACAAAATATAATTAATAGAATTAAATCTATAATAATTAATAGTAACTATATAAAAAACAGGTTAATCTAGTAAATAAGGAAGGAATATAGCATAAAACGTAAAAGAAATAAGGAAGGAGGAGTAAGTCTAGGAAAGGTCCTTGGAAAGAAGACTGCCGTTGAAGCTTATGTAGTTAGCTTTAAGGATCGCTATGATTATCTGTCTTAAGACGAAACCTTCTCGGATTGCCAGAGAGCTTGCAAATGAGAATCTTAAATCTTTATAAAAAGTTAACGCAAGCTTACCGAAGGAAGTTAAGATATTGGATAAAGACCAAAAGTAATTATATTTGCCCAACCAGAATCTATTAATTAAAAAATATAAAATACACGTTTTTAAGATAACTAAATTAAAATCACTAATTAATTTATCCTTATCACACACAGACAAATTCTTATTATCAATTTATTTGCAAGGAGAGATATTTAAAAAAAAATTAAGCCTGAGCCTGGCCAGATTTAAAATATTTTTAAATTCTTAGGTCCGAGCCTGGTTTGACTGGCTTGAAGGGTGCAAGAATTCCACATTAATTATTGTTTATTCTATATAAAATACAATACAAAATTAGAACTCGAATGGGTGCTTGGGTTAAAAGATTTGATTAGATCAACCCATTTTATTTTCCCGACCACAATCCAGGGTGGAGATCATATAAAACCAACCATTTAACAACACTAGGTTTTGATAAACACTAATTTAAAACTAATATATTTCCATTTCTAAATTATTTTTATTTTTAACTAATTAAACTTTATAAAATAGTTATTTATTTTATTTAAAGATAAAAAAAAATAAGAGGATAATTAAATTATAACTTATGGTTAATTTTGTAAAATTTCTTTTAAGCTCTAAATATTAAGTATAAAAAATAATTAGTCCAATATTCTATACGCATTTCTTTCTTAATAATTTTTTCTCCAAAGCTTGATGAGTAAAATTTTGATATTTAATTGACCATTTCTAAGCGAATATTTGCTTTCATTTCTTTTAAATTTATAAAATCCTTTTAATTTTTTATAAAATCATGTAGTTTGTTTTTCTATTTAAAAAGTGTGAAAAAACCTAAAATTCTACGAAAACAATATTATAAAAATTTAATTTTTTTAACAAATTTTCACATAAAAACTTTAATTGTAAAGAATATATATAAAATTGAAACCGGGACACCTCACATACAATTGGTTTTATCATAATCTTAATGGCCTATGTTGAAAATTTTTGGTAGATATATAAATATGATTTTTAACAGTTCTTTATTGAATGTCATATCAATTTTTATATAATGAATCAGATGTTGAACAACTCCTCATGATTATCCTATATGTTATATGCATCGTAATGTTTATATTATTCACTCTCGGAACCATAATTTACCTCTTCAGACTTATTCCTCAAAACCTGTACCAAGATTTATACGTGGAAGGGAAACGAGATATAAGTATGGCTTATAGAAAAATGTCGAGAAAATGATTGAATGGTTAGTCACTTGATTAATTTGGACGCTTGTTGATTTCCAATAAATAACTTCAAAATATAGATATAGTTTGTAAAAAGATAATAAAATATTATGTACCAAGAACTTGTGGCTTTCGATGTTTCTTTTCTTATCAAACGTTTTGGATCATCCAATTTCGTTTTGAGAAATGTCAAAATTTGTGCTTTATAAGGCGATATTATACTTGGCTCAAAGTGCTGGATAGTAGCGGATAAGATTTTTATTCGAATAATTTTTGTTTCCTTTTAAATATAAAAGGTTGGTAAAAATAAATATATGCTTTTAATTAATTACAAATCTAAATATAATGTTTTATAAAATATTGATCATGGTTGGTTACCATTACCATATTTATATGATTTTGTTGAATCTCTGGGTAACAGCATAAGTCAATAAGGTTCGAGAGATAATTGGATGGTATGGAATTGGGCCAATGTGTAATAATTTTCAATATTATTCTCAATAAGATAAGATGATTACTCATATTGCCGCTTTTGTTGTTTAAAGTTTCGACTAAGATTGGGAAAAACTAGGATTCATTTTTGTTTGAAAATAGGGTGCATTAAAAATTTTTATAGATTATGTATTTTTTAAAAAAAAAAGTTAATTCATTATAAAATAAATACATAAAAACTTTAGTCATTTCGGATAAAATTATTTGAAGAGGTAAATCTTGAATCATTAGTGATAAAGCTAAACAATAACTGTGCCGTAATACTGTAATAAAATTAAATAATTAGGTATTTTATAAATCTTGTAAATGATAAATATTTGTCTATTTTAAATCTTCGCGATGTGGGCGACTTAATAATTTAACAATATTTGATACCAAATTAATCTTAACATTTCAATTTCCTAATTTGAGCAAAATTTGACCTCATACCCCACCAGTGTATACTTGTTAATAATCTTTTAGATATTATATTAGGTACCTTTATATTCTTTATACAACGACAAAATCTTAGGCGACATGTAGACGAATAGTTTTTGTTTCCATAAAGAATATTTACCTTTTTCATCATTAGTATCGAATAGAGCAGGCAAGGTATAGTTGCTGATATATATACTATGAACTGGGCATTTCAAGAATGTCATTAACTAATGGGTTATGAAAACGAAATTTCATAAAATAATTAAATTATAATTTTTTTAAGGCTATACAGTTCTATAAAATTTGATATTAAGTACTTCAATAAAACTAACTCAATTTTTTTAATGCTATATAAAATTCAAATTAATTTTAGTATAATTTTTTAAATGTACATTTTCCATAATAGTGTCATATAGAGTGGCATAATGAAAGGGTTCCTTGATTCTAACAGTTAAACATGATTTAATTATATTACCGTAGAGGTAAAAAATGTGTTCATTGATGAGTTTCATATTATCGATGTGGTCAAGTTTCAAAATGGTGTAATTATTAATGTGAGAATTTTTATAATCGATCACATGACAAGAACATGGCAATGCCGTGGCTAAGTTGGTGATTGATTTATGTATTCTAGCCAGAATGCTTTCAATAAGTGGTGTAACAATTATTAACATGTTATCACAACTTTCTAAAAATAGAGAATTGTTGATTATTTCATAAATATCAGAGGCAGAAGTCCTATTTGCATGGCCTGGTCCGGATTTTTTTGGCCCGGCTTTGTTTCAGCGTCTACATGAGCGGAAAAGGGTAGGAACAGTTTGCATCCAATAGGATATATTTAATTGGGGGGGGGGGGTTATCGATTAAATTTTTAAATGAAATAAGGTTAAATGTATTGCTGTAAAAATTAATAGTATTATTATAGACCTAATATAAAGATATTGCTAAACATCAACTAAATCTATAGATGGCACACAATCATAGACATTATTTTCCAAATAAAACTATTTCTGGTGCTATTATTTTAAATTTAATTTAAAAGGGTTAAAAATTCAATCAACTCATATTCATGCCAAACAATATACTATAATAATGCATTAATTGTAAATGAGGGAGTTTTTATTGAATTCATGTTATATAAAATAACTTTTACATTCGCAATATTTTGAAAGTTGGCAGTAATCATATAAGTTCCTTTTTTTAAGTAATGAAGGTGTACAATTACTTTAAAAAAGGTGCAATTAAATGTGGGAATATAGGCGGGAATTTTTAGGGGGGTAGGTATAGGTTTTTGAGGGGGGAGGGGTTGCATCCACATGTAGACGCTGGACCCGGCCCAAATTTTTTTAAAATATAATATTTCTTTTTAATTTTTATAGCCAACAATGATGTTTTAAGATATTTGGTTTTAAAAGCCGGTCTGGGCATTATTTTTTTTAAAAATTCAGGCCATGGCCAGTCCATGTACCCGGTACCGGACCTGCAGGTCTCTGATAAATAGTTATAAAAGCATAAAAAATATGATTCATTCTTTCTTTCTTTTCTATGAAAAAATTACAAACTATTTGTACCTTTTAGAGATGTCATCATCAAATTGTTTATTGTGCTGCTCAAACATTTGTAAGATAAGATATATAATTTATAATTCGAAAATTCGGCTGTGACATTGGCTAGAAATGCGTATAACATATCTGATAAACAGTTAATAAAATTTATCAAAAACGCGAGATTTTCAAGATTCTTTTCTTGGTATAGTAACTAATAAAAAAATATATTTTATAATTTTAGGTCTATGTTTTTAAAAATAAACGTTGTAAAACATGGTTGTATTTTCTGTGAGGTTCAGGTATATGAATAAATAAGGCAAAATCTCATGATATGTATCTAAAAATTGCTTCCTATTATTAACCTGTAAAAAATATAATAAAATTTGGCATATAAATTGTATAATAAAATATTACTTGACCAAAGTCATTTAAAAGTATCGTCATTTTTTGGGTGTAGCCATTGAGGATGACTATGTAAGATTTCACTATTTGTATAAATTTCCTGATACTATCAATAACCAATGAAAATAGATAAAATTAACTATATATATGCAAAGTTTTTAGACCCTTTTTCCTATGATTTTTATTATTTGCATTTTCTTTATTCTCATTTACAACAGTATACTTTACTATATAAAACCATTATCTTAACCCTGCCCTAATATATTCTTCCTTATACTAATTACCAAGAGATATAAATGCTTGAAATTGGTTTCGCACTTTTTAGAGTATTCGTGGATGATAGTCGGATCAATAAAAGGATTCTCAAACGATTTTATGATAGTTTGCGGATTTACATGTACAATGATATCGTTTATACTTTTAATAATTTTAAGATGAATACCCTGTTGTAAATTTTCGATTGATTTATTTTCCATGATTAAATCTGCCGGAGCAGCTGCATTGTTGGTGGAAGTATTTTTAATTACGGAATTGTTAAAATTTTTGCAATCCTTATCAACAACCGAGATGTAATGATTTAAAATTATTTCAAAGTGTTCTTGATTAAAGGTCGAAAAAATTAAATGATTTAAAAAGGTGCCTGCAGATATTGTTTCGGTGTTTTTTTTATTGTTCAACTCTGTTTTCCAGCGGTCAAATATGTGAAAAAGAAGAATTAAGGCAATATTTTGGGATGAAGAGTTTTCTAATGAAAAATGAAAAGCTTGATCAATTATAATGTAATTATTTAAAAATTTATTAAAATTAAACAATTAATTTTAGCATTTAAATATCTACAACCTGTTAGTTGATTTAATAAACATCTGATAAGTCTTTCGATATTAGGTATAATAGTTAGTTTGTTTCCTGATGAATTCATATCAATGAAAGGATTGGCTAAAATTGCAAGAGATTCTACTAACAGGTAGTTATCATAATTGAGAGCTTTAAAGAAAACATAATATTAAAATTAGGACTGCATCGATTCATAATTTTTCACCTATTCGATATTTATCCACTGATACAATGCCGATATTTACATTTATATAAATTTTCAGCTATATTTAAAAAACGTTTTAATCACATATTTCCACTTTTTTATAAAAATCAAAACATCTCCATTTTTATAATTCTAAAATGTGCCTCCTATTCTATTTTAAATGATAGATTAATTGGTATCCATTATTTTCTAAATGTCATCGAGTTATTATTTAATAGCAATATTCAATAGAATTTTATATCATATCCAAATGCTTATCTAAACTAATAGTCTAATGATTTTTTCTCTGTGAATTTCGCGAAATAAGATTTGCATTTTCTGAGATGGTAAGTTTTGAAATTCCGTATTGTTGAAAAGGAAGGAAATTCAATATTATTTTTTTTAAATATTTATGTCATTTATAATTGATTTATGAAACTTAAAAAAGTAAATTAAGAAGAAAAATTCACAGCACCTTCTTAATTATACGGTTAATAAAAAAAATTCAACTTATGACGTAAGCAAAAAAGAAACCGTTATCAGAATTCTTTTATCTAGTGTTGTTAAACGGCTCGTTTTGAGCTGATTTTTAAAAACGACTAACTCAATATTTTCGCCAGAAAAATATTGTAAAAGCCTCGAGATTTTCGATAATATATGTCTACAATCTTCAGGCTTGCGTAATATTTTCCTGGATAAAATATTGAGTTAGCCGTACTTAAAAATCGGCTCGAAACGAGCCGTTTAACAACACTACTTTTATCTATAAATTTAACTTGAAATATTAGCTAAGAAGAAAGAAAAATATTTTTTATTTTGAGGATTCAATTATTCTTGCGGCATATTATTCGGTGCCACTAGACCCCCTACCATCTCTTCCCCGATGAATAAAGGATTATAAACAATAAATAATTATTAACATTTTTCAGGAAGAAAAACTAATAATATGTAAAAGATGACCAGGGTAAAGACAAGAGTTTCATCGCCAATAAAATGTATTAGGGGGGATCTTTGAAGGGTTTCTAGAGATAGGGATCGAATCATTTAAAAAATATAGGTTAATATATTTTATAAGGGGCAATATCGGAGCAGATCAGTTATAGATTTAATATAATATTGGTGCAGTTATAAAAAAATAATAACACAAAGTTTTTGTTACCTATATAAGATGACTTTGCTGCGAATTGTTCTTGAAGTAAATTGGAAAAAAAATCATACGTCAATTGATACTGATTCGATATGCAGAGAATTAATAAGCGATGTAATGTTAACCTTTTCGCCATTATAAAATTTAAATATATAAGAAAATAAAAGACATGACTAAAAGTGTATGATAACACAAAATTCGTAATCACTTAATAGCAGTTCAATAATTGCCACTTTATGCAAAATGGTGATAGAAAAGCTTTTAATTGATTGAAGTGGTCTGAGAAGTGAGGAGTAATGAAAATGGTGATTTTTGAAGGCTTCTAGCTTAAAAATAAATTTTATAGATTGGTAATCCAAAACGATCATTTTAAACAAGTAACGATTAAGAGTAGAAGTTTCTTCATAAAATTAACATTAAATTACAAATTTATAGGGGATTCTAGTATAACTAAATACATGGTTTACTAATTTTCGTCAAACTTTAAAAATGAATAAATTGTGTAAAAATAAAAATATTATTTTGCTATTTATATTATCATTTAGGAATTTCATTTTTATCTAGTCGATACTTTTTTCAAATTTATCGTTTGTTTTGCTTTTTGTTATAGTTGGGGGGGGGGGTCATTAGTCAACCATAAAATCATATTTTAAAAATAAATTGTATAGTGTATACAACTCTAGCTAATTTTTTTATGGTGCATTATTTAAAATTAAGATCTTATACTTGAATTTTACGTTTAAACTGGATTCCGATAAATTTTCTAAAACATGGTTGATAGAGCTTAGTATCTTGATGAAAAATGAATCCATATCGACCAATTGATTGGTAATATATCTATAATATCTTTGCCTGATTACTAAGAGAATGTTTGTTAGACGCATGCCGATTTGTAAGAAAAATAGTATAGATATTGAACTAATTTTAATATCGGCCTCGTTCACTAGTATAATATTGAGCCATTTATCGAGTTGTTCAAAAATATTTTTAGTAAATGATATCAGTTTGTCTTTATCTAAAAAAAAATCAATAATCATTAATATATAGTGTGACCTTACATGGCAGCTGATTCGGATTAATATTACTGGAGTCGGTAAATTTATTAGCAAACATCTCTAAAACTTCGCTTATTCGCTCGCAATCATCTTTAAGGTGACATACAAAGGTGTTGTCATTTATGTGTTCTCTATCTGTAACAATATAAAATGAGGTGAGGTATAAAGCCTGAGCAAGATTTTCCAAGATAATGATGATAATCGAATTCCTTTTATTACTATCAATATAAGCCAGTTCTTGTACAGGGAAAACTAAATCGAGACTAACCTCAGAGTAACTAAAATCGGTAGCTATTAACAATTTTAAGATGCCAGTAATGGACGTGTTAGCATTATTATTATTCGTAATTTTTTTTGTTAATCTCGAAATACCTGATGTTATCATGTTATCATCATTCTCATAATATATAATATCATTATCAAACTCATTGACATTTTTGATAAATTTTTTACTAAGAAAATCGAGATTTGATATATTTAAATCCTGAATTGATTCATATGTATCAGTTTTTTGAAATAAAGATAATCTCTCGTTTAGCCGTTTGTGTAGTTGATATATGCAAGCACTCAAAAATGGATTTATAAATTTCTCTTTAAATAAATTATCATAATCATTAATTGGTATAAGAAATTCGGAATCTTTTCCAAAAAAATGATAGCTAAATAATGCATTCATTAAATTTGAAGCACATATTTCTAGGGTTGTTTTTTCGTTAATTCCAGCGTCTTTGATTTCCAGCGTATCATTATTGGGAAGGTTAATTACTAAATCGTTTTTGCCGGCCATATTAGGCCAATAGTGATCGTCGAATTGATTTTCAGCTCCAAAAACCAAACGTTGAAATTCTTCTAATAAATCAGGGTTCTCACGGCAATAAGAATTAAAAGCATTCGCAAATATTTTACCCTCTTCCGTCGAAGTGCTGCATTTTTGGAGTAATTTTGTCAACAAGATATACGATTCTTTTTGAGCAATAGGTAACAAAGACTGAGACTTTTCTATGACGAGAGGTAGCAAGTATTCTATAAATTCAGGTCTTGAATTTAAACAATTTCCTAAGGATATGCAAAGCATATCTGAGGTAACGAAATCTTTTTCCACGTGATCAACGTCAAAAAAATTCAAGCCCTTATCAGAAACTAATGAATATAGTTCTCGCATGGGTTGATGGGATTTATAATCGATAGGGAAATAGCAAGCCGTTATCTCAAAAATTTCTTCGATCACATTATCTGAAAAAAACAAGTTTGACAATGTAAACAATAAAATGTAGATTCTCAATATAACGTTTCCCAGATGGACAAAAATATATTATATGCGGATCCTGCCCGGCTCTAATTTTTTTAGCCTTTGGACAGAGTCCGGATAAAATTTGATAACACGTATTTTTTGTGTAAATTGGTTAAATGTATATTTTTACTATGGATATCATTTTTGAATTGACCATAAAAAAATATTAAAAGATATAATAGTAAAGTTAGGCTAAGAACATATCAAAACAAAATTTTAATGTGCAAATTTTTGAAATATTTAGAATTTAGAAAAGTTAGATTTCTATTTTAGCAATTATGCTCTAGAATGTTTTTAGTTTTAAAATATAAGATAATCAAAAAATAAAAATTATACCTTCATTCTAGCTCAATAGATTTTGAAAATTCCTTATTTATCCTAATCTCCCACCTTGACTATGCTAATATACTAATAACTGAAAATCAAATATTATAATATAGATTTAAAATAATAGTGATAAGAGTGAAATTTCTTTTAAGTTTTAAAAAAATAATTTTGTATGGGTTTTTTTAAACAATTTTTTTTAAAAATATTTCTTGCAATTTAACAATTTTATATGCATAAGAATAGGCCCCCAGAAAATAGAATTGAAAAATTTAGTATTCGTTTTTGTAAGAATGAATAATACACGAATAAGAAATAGTTTGATTTTTTTTAAAACTAATTTTATAGGATATTTTATAGAGTAAACAATGAAAAAATGAAAATTTTCAGACGCCATTCGTACTAAGATGATATCTAAAAATTAATTATTTATAAAAAATATTTATGAAAAAGGCGAATTGTTTCTTATTTTAGAAACATGTGAGTTTTGGTAATCATATTTATGTCTATAAAAGAGATGCACATAAGATGTAAAAGGTCCTATTATTTCCACTCTTTCTGATTATATAATCGTATCTTACCATTTATAAATATTTTTTAAATTTGGTTTAAGAATATAAAAATACTTTGAAATTTAATACGAATTGAATAATTATTTATTCATATTCATATGAATAATAAAGATATTATTTGATTAAAAATTTTGAGTTTAAAAAAAAGGGATTGCTCGTAAAAATTATTCTTTCCAGATAAAAGATGAACAAATTTTACTGAGAAATAAATAAAAATATTTTAATTATGCAAATTATAAAAATAAATTCGAATTAAACGATATCCAAATTATTGTTGAGAGCTTTTTAAGTTTATCTGTTTTGCATCAAAATAGTAAGGTTGCTCGTTTCTCCGTCATAGGCATATTTATCAAAATAGGAATGAATAGTTTTTATATATTTTCCAAATATAAAATTGCCAATATTCTATGAATATAATAAAATAATTTTATTTTATATGAATAATTCGATCGAATAATAGATACAAAATATACAAATAATATATTATCTTCATTCGTATTTTTATTATTCGTGTTCGTAAAATAAATTATTGTATCTGTTTTCCAAATAATCACCATGTTATAAATTAAAATCATTCATATTCAGTGGCATCACTAGTCCTTTTTTAACTAATATTTTCAAAAAGACCTTCCTTTTTTGCTAATATTTTCAAAATGATTAGTGTTGTTAAACGGCCAAGCTGAATCGACTTAGCCTAGATTTTATTCAAGTTTTGAGTGGTAAAACTCACTTCATATTGGAGGCTTAATATCCGCATAGTTGGCTCACTGAGTCAGCAAAAATATTTTGAATTGGCCTACTATTATTATTTACCTTACGAGGAAAATATTTAAAAAAAATTAAACACTGTTTAATTAAAATACTTATATGTATTGTTGAGTAAGAAAATGACCATGCAATTATTATCTACTCCCCATAAATAATTAATAATTTCTACTGATTCATCAAACCAACTCTTTAAGCCAATGTGTACACTTCCCCAGTGACATGACTGCTTATTTATTTATGTTGTACAAAACAAGATTATTTTTATTTTATGGGGGACATAATAATTATATGCAGAAACAACATTCTTTTGGCTATAATTTAATAGATCATTCAAATTAAATATGGGAGAAGTTTTATCAATCTTATTTAAGAAATTTAAAAACATTTATGGATGTTGCATTTTTGCATCATTGCAAAAAAACCTACTTAAAATTATTTTTCACAATTTAAAATTTTTATTTTAATCTGCTAATTTTAACTTTGCACAATAAATTTAATTTTCATTATCTTTACCTAAATTTGTAAAATTCTCCAAAACAAATATTGATGTTTTAAAGACAAGAATTAAATTTCTGGGATCTTTTTCACCAACAATTATTGCGATATATATTGGTAAGAATTTAATTGCCTCAAAATAAGAAGGCTTAGGATCAACTGGATTATACCACGATGCAGGCGATTTTTTTAAAATTGTGTGAAAAATTTTATACATCAAAAACCGATCTGCTTGTTTCAGAGATTGATTATCAAATACTAAAACAACTTCAGTGTGTTTTCTTGCATGTTCCTCATCATTAAGTAATAAAACTAAAAAAATACTAACCATTTCTTTAGTTAAACTAAAGGAATTCAACTAATAAATTGTTTTTATTAAATTTATTGTTTTAAAATTACCATGAGGTAAAGTGTAGATAATACATGAGGTATTATAACCAATTCATCCTTTAATCTATGGCAAAAGAATCTATATAAATGCAAACCTGATTATTTTATAAAGATATACATATTTGTCTATAATTAATTACATTCTGTTTCATCAATAGAATTTATTATTTCTAAAAGTATCAAATTTATCATTTTTAGTGCACGAAGTCTTTCTTGAACATCGTTGTTTATTAAGTATTTTCTTTGGCATAAATATATACTTGTTTAAAATTATTTATAACATACTTAAGATACTCCAGAAAATTTATTAAGGTGTAGTTTTTAATATTTATTCCTTTTAATATAAAACTTATAGATAAATCTAAATATCAAACCTTCAGCAATTAATTTTACATTATCCGCCTTATCAGCCAATATATAGTTGTCAATTAATTCATTTAAAGGTAGCATCATATCCTATCCTATCACAATGAAAATGTAAATTTAAAAGCTGTCATGTAATATATGTTAAATGTGACATGGCAATAATGTATGTAACTGTTATTCAATAATTGTAAATAAGTATGTCATTTGCAATACCACCAAATGTCATTTAATATCTTCATTCCATTTTGCAACAAAATTTTAAAAAATATGTATATAAGAACTTAAATTTTTTTAAAAACATGTTCAAAAAATCTTAATCAACTTTTTGTTAATTGCAAAAATACTGATTTTTATTTTCACTTTTTTTCGAAGTGTGATTTTTAGTATTTTACTGACAAAGACGTGCTAAGTTTAACTAATATTATAATTTTTTTAAATACGGAAACATATACTCTCCTCTCCTATACCCCAAACTTATGGATCAAAATCTTAAGCAAAAGAAGCAGCAATATAGACAAAATTTAAAATACGTCTTTTTACAAAATTTAAAATACTTCTTTATTACACAAATTAAAATATAGGTAAGTTTTATAAAAAATATGAAGTTTTTATATTAAAGATTTTTAAAAAAATTTAAAAATTTTGTGAGAAAAAGGAATGAAAAAGGTAAGTAAAATTAAAATTGTAAGAAAATAAATTAAATGTTTTTTTAACAAATTACTAAGCGAATCATTTCGCCAAATTAAGGAAAGAATGAAAGTGCAAGTGTATTTTATTTATAAAACATTTTCAATATTTAATTCTGTAAATAAGGTATATAAAGATTTTGCACGTGTTCCGAAGTTGAGTTAATCAGGCGGATTTCTCATTGCAGTTCTTCATTAATATTATCGGCATCATCAAAAGGCATATGCAGTGGCCCCTAGACTTTCTGAACGATGGAAGCAACCCCCCTGAATACCCCCCCCCCGCTCACCCCCTTTAGAAGAAGTGGTTAATTATTTTTTGACACCTTTAAATTTCAAAAATAATTTTTATTGCTTCGATCTTTAATATATAATATTAATAAAAAGACAAAAAAATAGATACTTAAAAAATATTTTTTTAAATTAATAATTTAGACAAATTAGGTGAAGTGAAAGCGAAAGAATCTATAGTTTCATCAATATTTAAATGTTTAAATAAATTTTTTTCCATTGATAAAATGGTTAAAATTAAGAAATGGATCTTTCATGGTCTTGTTTTAATTAATTTAAATTACTCATGACCTTTTCGGCAGTACATGAGGTAGTAGGAATGGTAAATAAATATTTATATAAAATTGTTAAATTAGGGAGCATACAAATTTAAAAGTAGACGATAAGGTAAAATAAACGAATAGTTACCCTTTATTAATAGTATAAACATGAATATTTAATAAAATAATTACTTTGCTATTGGTCCAATTTTGAGAAATATTCTTAAAAGCTACTATTTCAAAGCTTTTCTTTATATCATTAAAATTAATCCCACCATGTCTTTTTCTAATGTGATCTGTCCATTTATCAAAGCCTCTGTATTTTTTTTGTTAATATTTTTAGGAATATTTTGAAATTGGAAAAGTGATTTTATGACAAGAAATCTCGGATACTAACCTAATTTGCTTTCGACCAAAATTTATTAAAATGTAATAATAAGATCACTACCTCCCCTCCTATTTAATTTAATATTTATTAACGGAATCACGAGTTGGAGCCCGATACGATAAACCAGAAGTCACTTGGTATGGATCGATGTAGTAAAACAATAAAAGAATTATAAAAAATTTTAAAAAGTACCCCCACTCAAATTTTAGAAGCAGTTGCTTCGGACCTTCCTTCTCCTGTTGTTGGGGCCATTGGGCATATGTACTTATTTTAGGGTACTTTAAAACTTTAATCAACATAAAATAAAGATAAGTATCATAATATAAATTAACAAATTTTCTATTATAATTCTACCATTATTTGGTAGTTTTTTCTTGAATTAAGTTTTATACCCTTTAATTAGGATTATTATTAAAAATTTATTAGAAATATATAATGTTGTAAGAAACTTAATACCATTGCATGAAAGATGAAACTATATAAAATAAATTTAGTAACCAGATTAATATAAAAATAAATAAAAGAAAAACATAAATGTATACCTAAAAAGGAACAAAATATACGAAATTGGTTAAATGATTATATCGAAAAATAAATCTGGAACAAATAGGAAATGTATATTTATTAGTTTAATAAAATATAATAAATTACATATATACACATTAATACATAAAAGGTGGTAATAATTTATAATGTTGGATCTAATTTTCTTTTAGAATTTGATAATTAATTAATTGTTTCACTGATGAATATTTATGAGTGCTAAGCCATTTAATCTACTTTGGGAGGTAGTATTTCGCAAATATGTTTTTAGTCTTCGTAAATTTGAGAAAGTTTTTTTCATTAGTACATATTATAATAAGGAGGCATGCTAAAATTTGAAAAAATTTTGTAATGTTTGGATAGTTAAGTTAAAAATGTATCCATAAGTGGTATAAAAATCGTAATTCTGTAATACTCCTCAACTGATTATGTGGAAATATTATTCCTATGTACTTGCTTGTCTTGATATAATTCTTGGCATGTTTATTATCATATCATATGAATACTCCTTTTTTGAACCATTAAATATCTTTCTAAATTCACAATCAGCATTCTTTCTTATTTGTAAAATAGCATGGTAAAGTTCCTAAATTAATTATATACTTATTTTTAAAATATAAGCAAATTTAACCAGATTGAAAATTTTGTAGTTTTGAATATATTATTCTGTAAGATAGTATTATTGATCAATAAATTATTATAATAATATTTACTGCAGATATTTCATCGAAATTAATTTAAAAAATATAAATATAACGTTAAAATACACTACCTATTGGGACTATCTGAATGATAGGATCATTTTGCATATTCACTATTATTTTATCATCAAGAGGCAAAGTTTTTTAAAAGTTCATTCCATGGGAACTAAGAGGAGAGTTAAAAAGCTCATGCCTAATTAAATATAAACTTGATCATGGGCGAGTTATGTTCACTATGTTAATTTTACTTTTATTTAGCATTTGTGAGAACCTAGAAATAAACATAATAAAAAATACTAGTACTACAATCACTTATCAATAAAACTAGTTCTTTATATTCAACTTTGAAAATAATCAATAATCCATTCCATATTCAATATCCATTGTACCCACTTAGGATTTACATTGATAAATAATAATAATAATAATAATAAAGAGGATTGAATTTGTTTGGACTAAAATTATAAAAGTTATAATTCAAATGTTTAAATGAATGTAACATATTTTGTTCTTATTAATAGATATGTTATTAATTTAACAAATATAGAATTATTTTTTTCATTTAAACTATTTAAAAGATATTTTATGATGTCCATATCAATATTTTATAATCATTTGTAAATATATTCACTATTGGTAAAAATTATTTGATTATCATACTATATTAGATAAAATTAAATATACTGTAAATCTACGACACAAAATTTTCCACTGTTTGTATTGTGCGTTAATTAATTTCTAATTTAATTTTATCAATAATTTTATAATTAAATTTTAATTTTATTAAGAAAAATTAATTATATTTGATATTATTTAGTAACTTATAGATTTATTAATCGTAATTATAACAAATTTCACTTCTCTCTTAAGACTTATCTTTGGCTTTTATTTCATTTCCTAAAAAACATTTTTGGTTTCGCTTTTTTTATATATAAATGCTTTTTCCAAAAAAGTATGACTTATAGTCAATAGTTTTATTTTAAAAAAATATTAACTTTTACATTCTTTCTTTCAAATTATGTTTAAGATATATGAATACATTTTTGGGGGACAGGGGGTAGGGAGAAAACTAAGGAGGATATTTTTTTATTAGCATAAAATGATATTAACAAAAAGTGAGATATTTCGGAAGGGGGAAAAATTTCCCTTTGTCCCCTCCCCCGCTACGCCTATGAATTGTATGTTCTGCTTAAGGAATAGGAATTGCCTAGGTTCAAGTGTTTTATTCTGTGAGCTAAATTTAAAAAAACCAAAAGATGATAGGCGCAAACTGTCTTTTGGTGGAAGCAGCAATTAACTAGGATTAAAAATTGCTTAGGATTTTATATTTCATCGCCTGAGAATTATAGTATTCTATCTCCATTTTTTCCAACTTTACAGGAGAGCAATTCTAAAAATTTATTATATTGTTTTGATTACCTTTATTATTTTTTTTTTAATTATGAATGCCTATATTTAATATTCCTCAGAACTTAATTATAGAAAATACAATGATATTTCTCTTAAAAATCTTCTTTTTCATTCTTTAAAAACTGGAGGTAAAATAAATATCAAATTTTATTTTTATTATTTTAAGAAATATTATTCCATCTACAAATAACTTCTCTTTAAATGCAAAAAAATTATTGTATAAGAGAATAATAATAATGACTAATTAATGTAAACATATTTATCTTACAAATTTAAATATGAGATTTTCATATGTGTAAAAATTAATGTATATGTCGTAATTTTTAAAGGATCAGAACTATCCGGGATCATCAGGGTTTTAAAGGGATGACTAAAAAATTAGGGTTTGAAATTAAGGAATGATAATACGGTATTATCACGTTTTAATCGTGATAAAGAGGAATCTCATTTTAAAAACCGTTTCGTTTTATTTCTTATTAATTTTATTGTTATTTATAAATTATAAATGTTGTTTTTTGGTCTTATGAAATATGATATGCCTAATATAGGGAATCAATCGATAGCTAATCAAAAGATCCCCTTAATGAGCGAGTCTAGGTTGGGGGGTGGGGAATATTTTTACCAAAACAAAATATCGATATGGGTATCAAATAATAGCTAATTTTAATATATTTTGACTGAAAGTCTACTTGGTCTTGATAGGTGACTTGGTCTGGGGGATGGATAGAAGGAAGGGGGGCAAAAAAATAATTTTATTTGATATGAGTATTAATAAAAGTTAATTAAAATATTTTTTTATTGTAATAATAATAATCACTCATAGAGGGCGGA